TTTTTCAAGACACTTCTATACTGCTTAAAGTGACATTTAAATGGGAAGAAAAAAAAAAAAAAAATATATATATATATATATATATATATATATATATATATATATATATATATAGCTTAAAGGGACAAATAATTGTGACCTTAAATGTTTTTTCAAAAATTACAACTGCGTTTATTCTTGCCAAAATAAAACAAATAAGACTTTCTCTAGAAGAAAAAAATATTATCAGACATACTGTGAAAATTTCCTTGCTCTGTTACACATCATTTGGGAAATATTTGAAAAAAAAAATCAAAGGGGGTTTAATAATTCTGATTTTAACATTTAGATATTTTATATTTTGCTTTTAATTCACTGATTAATGATTCAGAACACTGTCCTAAATATAAATTGGTTAAATGGTGTAATAAATAGATATTTGGGTGTTGCTTTACAAAAGATCTAATTTGTTACCTATAGTTAATTCAATAAGTAACAATAACTAACAGTAAACAATACATTTTATAGCATTTATTAACCATCGCTAATGTTATTCATTCAGTCAGACATTCATTTCCCTTCAACTTAGTCCCTTAATTTATCAGGGGTCGCCACAAAAGAATGAACCATCAATTTTTCCAGCATATGTTGTACACAGTGGATGCCCTTCCAGCTGCAACCCAGTACTCGGAAAGCTAATGTTAATCAAAATATCAAAATATGTTGGTTCAGAGCATATTAAATAATATACAGATATAGTTTGATTTTATTAATCAAACTTTATAATATTTATTATTGATAGTTTACGAATCTTAAGTTTGACAGACAAATTAACACGTAATGTAAAGCTTTACCTGTAGTCAGGGGCGGATTTAGTGTTTTTGGGGCCATAAGCAATTCCAGCTATGGGGCTGAAGTCCTAAAATGCACCCTTTCTGCTTTTATTTAATTTTTATTTATATTGCTATTTGTTATATTGCTCAATCTTCTTTTCAATATTTTAAGTAATGCAATCTCTACATTTTACATGTTTTTATTGTAAAAATAAATGTACAACTAAAAAGAAAATACACACACACACACACACACACACACACACACACACACATATATATATATATATATATATATATATATATATACAATTTAATGCTGGACTGCTCCATAATGGGTACTTTATTTTGTAATATTATTATTATGAAACATTAAATTGTTATAATAAAATTATAAAAATGATGCATAAAACTTTATAAATTACCCTTACTGTATGACATAATTTATAATTATGAGATAAGAAATAATAGAAAGTCATAATTAGGATAAAAATCTGTTATTACAACTTTATGACATATGTATTATTTTAAAATGATAGATGAAATGATTAGCATTCCAGTCATTTATCATACTCCCTCTTTTATACCCCCCAAAGCACCCCAAAGCATGTGTGTGTGTGTGTGCGTGCGTGCGTGTCTGTGATTGCAATCATTATTACATCACTCCCACCCAGTGGTCTAACTGAGGAATCACACCATGAACCACTCAGTTGGATTTTGTAAACATAAAGCCAGGATAATGATGTTATGCATGGCGAACATATACTGCAACATACAATCCCAGTCCTAAAACTGTTCAGTGTAAGGTATATTACGACATTATAGAGGCAACAATAAAACTTCCTGTATAGCTGCTTTAAAGCATAATACAATATTTGGACCGTGTGAATGCGTTTTACACACGTTTACACGAATTTAAACTTTTATTCAACATGAAAGTAGGCGATCGAGGGCAACAAAATAAAAGGAGTTAAAAGCTTCAGTATTTCAACGAGCTGCAGGAATAACATTTCCAAAAGTGTTTCATACCTTTTATATATGTTTTAACTGGTGTTTAAAATTTATTATTTATATTTATTTATCCTAGCTCGCTCTCATAGTCATTTTCGCATTTTTGGTTCATTTTGCTCTTTAGAATAATTATATAATGAAATTTTCACATGGCAACGCGGCCAGCGCTATGTTTCTGCTTGCGGATACGCGGCTCAGTGAATGTCGGAAGCATCCCTTTGCGCACGCGCCGTGCGTGAGGGCAGTTCCATAGCAACCGCAAAGAACAACATGGTGAGTTTCCATCCTATTATTTCTGCCTTTAATACGATTTATAATGCGATGTCACTGAGACCAAATATATGTTCCTTAAAAGGAGGAAATCAGGTGTTTGGTGTTGGATGTAACAGGAAGCTATTATGCAGGCTAGAATTACAAGCTGCATTGATGTTCATGACTTGTGTCAGACAGTTGCAGCACATAAACATTTAGCCTCAATGCTAGCTGTTTAAACATTAGGTAGTTAAGTTTTAAATGCAATGCATCCATTAGTTTTAGCTGAGTAATTACATTTGGTTAAGATTAGACCACACACATAACCGAGAAGATAGCCAGCTTGTAAATTAGCATCTGCGTTTATCAGCTTGAGAGTTGCTGATTTCAATATTGAAAATGCAGAATCTTTATGGTATTTTTAGCATTTAGGGGTACGTTTAGACCCTTGAATCGTTATTATAATAAAAAAGTTTAAAAAAATTCCAATAAAACTATTTTTGATCTAATTAACTGCTTATTAATTAGTAAAAGTGAAACTATAAAAGTTTGGAATCTTACCATGTATACCATAGTAATACTGCATATGTGTGTGTGTGTGTGTGTGTGTGTGTGTGTGTGTGTGTGTGTGTGTGTGTGTGTGTGTGTGTTTGTATTTGTGTGTGTGTGTGTGTGTGTTTATACATATACACACGCACACACAATTGGCATATATATGCCAATTGTTAAACAAATAAGATACTTGTTTAAATAAAAAAAAACACTCTTTTACAGGACAAAGGTTTACATCAATACTATATTGATCATTTCACACTAGGTATTTTGACATCTTAAATTGCTCTATACATAACCTTATAACATAAAAAACAATTGCTTTAAAGTAACAAAAGAACAGTGTTTATTTTGAGGGTCATTTGTTAATAAATAATTTGTTAACTGTTAATAACATACAGTAGCATGTTATTATTTCCTCTTAACTGTATTTATTTATTTTTATTTATACAGGAACAATGTACAACATGACATGTTGTGCCAGAGTTAGCTATAAAGCTAATTTACATCTGTAGTCCCTGGGCAGGAAGTTGTAACAAATTTAACAGATAATACATTATACACTTACAATACAATACAATACAATACAATACAATACATCATTGTCAATAAAATGAAATCAAATCAGTGGCTGCTAAATTGTTCTCAAAATTTGACTTAAACAAAATCAAATATGCAGCCGCTGCATGTTTGATTTTGTTTAAGTCAAATTTTGAGAACAATTTAAAAATGATTAAAAGTGGTACTCTCTCTGATATACATTAGTATTTTATTTCAACTTTCTGCTGCTGTGACTGAAAAAACGGATTGTCCAAACACAGTTCTCTTAAGTTTAACTGAATATATCGTATATTTTCCTTGCTTACAATCACACATTGTTTGAGGGGTGGTGGTGCAAGATCATTAAATATTTTATACATTAAACACACATCAGCATAACATAAGAAACTGTCCAATGTTAGTAATTTTTGTTGTGCAATACAATTACAATGATGATAGCTCCTTGGCTTTTTAGCTAAAATTTTAACAGTTTGTTTATACAATTGTTTTGATGTTGTAATGTTCGTATGGGACCAGCTTGTAGCACAAAAAGATAAGTGAGGGAAAATCGTTGTATTCATAAAAAGTTTAGCTACAGCCATAGGTACTGTACCTGATGCCTAATGTTTCTATAGATCTTCAGGGTTGCTCTAGCACTTTTGAAAACCTTCTTAATGTGTTTTTTAAAATTTAAATTTGAGTCAATAATTATATCTAAATATTTAAAATGATCAACTATATTTATTACTTCATTAACTAAAATATCTGAGTAATGCTGCTCGTTTTTCTTAATTAAAAAAAACAAAACATTCCCACAGTTTTACTTACATTGAGGGTGAGACATGAACAGTATAACCAGTCTGAAGCAATAAGGCAAATCATTAATGTATAAACTAAACAAAATTGGTCCAAGAAATGATCCTTGTGGAACTCCAAAATTACAATTGATGAATGGTGAGCGTGTCCCATTAATTCTTGTACATTGCTTTCTCGATTTTAAATATGACTCCATCCATAATAATGCATTAACGAAAAAAAATTCAATCTCGATAATTTAGTTAAAAGTACATTGTGGTTAACATTATCAAAGGCCTTTTTAAAATCAAGAAAGACAGCACCAACAACTACATTTAGTTTGTTCCAGGCCCGGATTGGCTAATCGGGAGGACCGGGAGAATTCCCGGTGGGCCGGTCCGTTTTTTGGCCGCGAGGGCCGGTGTCCCTAGCTCCAGAATCTGTTGCTCTAAGCAGTCACACTTTTTAAATTAATTTATTCATTTACTTGACCACAGTCTTCTTATTCATTAATTTAATACAGCTCTCTGCTCTTTTCATATATAACCAGCCTGCAGGTTCATAATGTTATAAGTCACTACTCATTATACAACTGTTGTGGCCCAGTGGTTAGCACGTTAGATTACAACGTCGCCGACCCGGGTTTGATCCTAGCCTGAGTAAATTATTATTTTCATTTTTATTGTTGAGACATATAATACTGTTTGGGTTGTCGAACATTTGAAGTTCTAAAGCAGCTGTTTTCTCAAAAAAAAAAAAAAAAAAAAAGACGTGATAGTGTAATTAGAAACTGAATTGGAAATGACCTTATTTTAATATAGTGAGTCGTGAACTTAGGTGGGCCGGTCTGAGGCTTGAAACCCCAGGGCTGAAAAGGAGTCCCACTCCGGCCCTGGTTTGTTCAATAAAGTAACAGTTTGCGGTCTCCGTAGAATGACGTGCTCTAAAACCAAACTTCATTTTTGCCACGACTTGGGCAAAACATTGCTTCACTTTGTTGTGAGTGACTAGTCACATGTCTGTTGTTTGTGTTTTCAGGCAAAAGCAACAACTATTAAAGAGGCCCTGGTGAAATGGGTAAAACATTTTTTGCCAATTTAGTTTATTGATTAACTTTTCCAAATTTTAAACATTACTTGAGTAAAATGTATGATCTGATTTGTGTTAGTTTAGGAATTATATATAATGATTTTAAATATTTTACTTGTTTTTTTTTTTTTAAATACTAGGAGGAAAAAACTGGTGAAAAAGCAAATGATGCCACGGCAGTAAAGCTTTATGGTCAAATCCCTCCCATTGAAAAAATGGATGCATCTCTCTCTAATCTTGTCAACTGCGAGTAAGTCTAAATATTCATCTCTAATTTTTGTGTGTATTGTCTTATACACCAGCTACCATGTGAGTCAGATATAATAACTCACTGTTACATCTTTATTGTACTGTCCTTTCCAGGAGATTGTCCTTGTCTACAAACTGCATTGAAAAAATTGCCAACTTAAATGGTCTAAGTAAGTACACCTTTCAAGAGCATAACTTATGTGCATTTCTGATCCCTGAATATTATGTTTCTATTTTTCTCTTAGAAAACCTTAAGATATTGTCCTTGGGGCGGAATAACATCAAAAACCTCAATGGACTCGTAAGTAAAGTAAAAGAACATTAAAACATATGAGAGGCCTTTACACAACATATTTTCATCTATTTTTTTTTTCTTTTTGTTTTTGCGATTTGGCCAATAATTTACATGGCAGTAGGGCCTGAAAAAATAAACTTTTAAAAATAATACCACTATTATCTCCATGAAAGCTTCAAAAATATTTGTTTTGAAAACGTTGACATCTTATGCATGTGCATTACATGTTCTATGGCAAGGCAATAAAAAAGATGTCTCAATAAATTTTTTTGTTTGTGCTTTTGTGCACGTGTGTGTGCAAGTGGTCAATTGAATTATTTTTATAAGCTGTGAATCAATATTATTTCCAAATTATATTTTTTATATTGTTAATATTATTCATTGTATCACTGTGCTCTTTTTTAATCTACCCATGTGTACTTGACATAGTTCACTATTTTTTAATTGATGTCAACATTTATTTTTGAGATATTAATAGCATTTGTATAGCATTAAAACAAATGTGTATGTCATAGTAAACATACAGTAGGGCTGAACAATACTGTATATCATTTGAGCATAGATATTGCAATGTGTAAATCTACAATAGTCACATCGTTGGATTAATCTAGCTGAAATAGATTGTTTATTGAAGAATAACATATAAAGATGAAATTTTTACATTATTGTAAAAAATTATTTATTGGATGATGAGCATGTTATTTTGATTGATGGTTAAATGTTTGTATCTGAATACTGGTAAACTCCACAAAAAAACCTAAAGCACTGTTTATTTAACTTTGTTTTAATTTTTTTACTTTAACTTAATTGTTATTTTTGCTCTGTCATATTTATTTATGATTGTAATTTATTATATTATATTATATTATATTATATTATATTATATTATACTATATAATATAATATTATATTATATTATATTATATTATATTATATTATATTATATTATATTATATTATATTATATTAAGTGCAGATCAATGCAGATCTTTCCAAATAGAGCTATTCAAATTATCCAGTGAAATTAGATTCATATTGCTATATATATATATATTTATTTATTTATTTATTTATTTATTTATTTATTTATTTATTTATTTATTTATTTATTTATTTATTTATTTATTTATTTATTGCAGCAAAACAAAATAGTGCTTTTTATTTTTTCACTTACTTTTCAAGGGATGTTTTATGATTTCATTGTTTATTAAGACAGTGCAATGTCAGATAATTCCATTATCATGCAGCCCTAACATACACTACCCTAAAAGCTAGAAATCAACTTCAGAATGTCTTCTGTTGTCATAGGAGGCAGTGGGTGATACTCTGGAGGAGCTGTGGATCTCTTATAACCTCATAGAAAAACTGAAGGGAATTCATGTCATGAAGAAACTTAAAGTCTTATACATGTCCAACAACTTGGTGAAGGAGTGGGGTGAGTCTAATAGCAGCTTTAATCACGTTGCTTTAGAGATGAACATTTATGAAGCTGTTTGTTTCTTTAGGGGAGTTTCTGAAACTGGCAGATCTTCCATCACTGGTTGACCTTGTCTTTGTGGGAAACCCATTAGAAGAAAAATATTCTGCAGATGGCAACTGGATAGAGGAGGCTACAAAGAGACTTCCCAAACTCAAAAAGCTAGATGGTAAATAGCATATTTAACCCTCTATCTGCTCTTTGATTGTTTTACCTTTTTTTACTTATCAAAAATCTTGCAAAATTTGGTTATGGCTATGTGAATATGGTGCATGTATATTTACAATATGGTAAGTAATACTGCAAAAACAATAATGTGTATGATTCAGAAAGATTAAATGTTTTATATGTGTTTACTTGTAGTCCAAAATGACCAAAAAAGTTAACCAATTGAATCTAGTGATTGTTTGGTACTGTGCCCAAACAGATTGCAACTTAATGGGCACATAGTTTAACTCTTTTTGTTATGATTTAATATTAATATTATGATTCTTCTGAGTGTGCCAGTTTAGGTTCAGGTCAAATCACATTTCAGATTTTTTTTATTATAATGTGTTAAAAAGTTTCATTTAGGGAGTGTGTACACAGCTCGCTGTTTTAGGGGCGTGTTGCGTCACATGAAAATCAGTTTCAAATTCCCGCCCAACGTAACAAGGCTCTGCCCTGCTCTGTGTTTGGCAACAGACAGGCAGACAGAGAGAAGCAGCATGAATGAGAGGGTCAGAATTCAGCCGTACATGTACGACTCGGACACAGACCAAGCAGGAAGTACACAATCATTTGTGTCTTTGTATCCCCTTGTTAAGTGGTGACGTGTTTGTGACGTATGTATACTGTTTCCGGGTCCAAGCCGCCATTCATTTGAGTGGAGAAATCATTTGTTTATGATCGCGTTTTATTCCTATCACACATTAAAGTTAATTTTATATAAAGTCATAGTGTACACAACAATCTCTGGGCTTGCTGCATAACAAATACCAAAATTTTAACAATTTATAAAAAATGTATCACTTTCTGGCCATTGGATATTAAGCATGGACATGTATATTGCGATCGTGACTTTCGAAAGTATTAAATCGCTTTGTAAACGTTTATTAGAAGCATTTCATGAATCTCCCCATTCAGTTGAATAGAGTGCTTGGACCCGGAAGCTGCTTCGCGTGACGTCACACTTAACAAGCGGATAGTTTTACAGCCAACTGTGTGCTAGTTTAAAGTTCTGAGCTTGTACACCAAGACTAAAAACCACGCACACTGAATTAACTTTGACTGAGGCACCGGATGACCCTCTTAGAGCCGCGACAGCACACCAGACACGGACATTTGCATGTTATTTAAAATAAAACTATTCAGATGGAGCTCTGTGGCGCGGCAGAAACATGAAGTGTCCCGAATCCTTACTGGGCGCCGCCCAAAAGTAGACTAGTTTGCAAACCTACCTACAAACAAACTAAGTTACAAACAATAATTCCGATTACAGTGGTCATGTGGTGAATGTTGATCTTTTGTTGAGCCCAGTGAGCCTTACATCTAAAAATAGGGCAAGGGTGTTCCTTTAGTGACATCGCTTTGACTCACACGCTGAAAATTGCGGACGTGAAACAACAAATTGAGGATATGGTGACGCGCACCTGTCAATCAATATTGGTGGGCGGGGGGCCACACTAAAAACCGCTCCAATTGGTCCACAGTTTTTATGTTGTTAAATTGAAAAAAAGGACTGGGTGTGTTTATATCACCCCAATATGACGGTCTATACACTATACTTACACACATGTCTGTCCAAACAGCTTGAAAAGTAGATTTTTTATCATAGGTGCAATTTAAAACTCCATTTTTATCAACCTCAATTCTGTTGAAATTTGTAGATTTATTTATTTTAATTTTATTCAGTTTGAAACTAGTTTTTAAGTGCATTGTATAACAATAATCTTTTTCATTTTTAGGGAATCCTGTCATCAAACAAGAGGAGGAAACTGAAGGGGAGAGTTAAATCAATTTATTTAGAATATTCTAAAGTTGGTGCATTTTTATTCTTCAAACACCAGCATTTTAACTATTTAAAATATGTGCAATATTTGCATTTTCTATGTGTATTTATATGGAATTAAGCTAAAGATCAATTTTTTTGAGATTCAACACTGTTTGAGTATATTTGAAAAGCACACTTGAGGCCATTTTGTTAGCTTTAGCACAAGTAGAGACATATACAATCATTTAATTCATGCAGCAGTACTGATTGAATAGTACTAATTTCTTACACTGTAAAAACTGTCATTGTCATTTAAACCAATATTTGTACTCCATATTACCATTTAAAAGAACTTGATTCAACCTTTTGACTTGAATAATCACAAAATCTAAATGTTGCCATATGAAGTAAACATTAGAAGGTAAAGACAAAGCATTCTTACTTTGTACATTCTTCAGGGTGACCAATAACATGTTAAATTGCACACAGGAAAAATAAAAAAGATTTATGCATTAAGTGTAAGTCACACTGTAGGCTTGAACTGTTTCTTTTTAGTGGTGTTATGTTTTAGTATTTCTCTTGTTGGAGTCTGCTTACAACAAAACTACATTAATGACTTCAAAAAAGGACTGTTTTAATTATATGCATTTGCTTTTTTGTATTTCCCGCTAAAATATTTGAACATAAGCAAAAAAATGTAATGTATATGCAGGTTATTCAATTTCCATACAGTTTAATAATGTGTTTTATCACACTAATGTACTTTGTATGTGGACGTTGCACAACGAAAACAATTTAACACTTTGTAGCACGAGTAACTTGAGTTTACTATAGCCAAAGGCACCATAGTAATACTGTAATTAAAAGATTTTGGAATCTTTTCCTGTAAACAAATTTATAAGCATGATTACATTTTGTATGCTAAGCATGTTTTAATGTTTGTTCAACCTGTCTACTACATTAAAACTTTGTTCTTGTTGTTTACTGTGTTTCACATAAGAAAATAAACTATTTTGTCCTCTATGCACAAGTTATACTGTATTGTGTATATATCTGATCACTATTATTATTTTTAACAGAGAATTAAATGTAGTTTTATTAAAGGGGGGATGACCAGCCTTTAACAGTAGGGGGCAATAAAGTTCTTTAAAATGTAACGGTGTAAACAATCTTCCTTTACTTGAATTACTGAATTAATAATACAAGTATATGTGTATGTACATTAAATACACATCTGACTTAACACTAAGCAAAAATGACAACATATATATTGTATTAAGCTTTGTTATCATAAATGTTACATCTTAATAAGTTGTTTGTCCTCTTTGAATTCATGTGACTGAAAAGGGATTTTGGTCATTATTTACATGTCAACACATTTTCTTGCAACTTCAATATTGTTAAAAAGCAAATTGCTAAGCGGATTGCAGTCAGTAAAATAATACTGACCGATACTCGAATGCTTTCGGATTCTTTAAGAACCTCTTCATTTTAAATATATAACATCATGGAGTAGGAATATAAATAATAAGAATAAAACAATATACTTTTTTATTGAATGCTTAAAAAACATTAACAACAAATTGTCATCAATCAAACAACAACAATCCAGGGGTTTTCAGTCATTTAGTCTAAGATACGTGCCAAGATATTCATCTAAGTCCTTGTCCGTTTTGCTTTTAAGTTTGTTGATCCCTCAATAGACTCAAAATACATTTTCATTTCACTTTAAGAATTAGAAAAAAAAGGTTTACACTTACAAAACTTGCTCTTGTGAATATGAAATTTGGCCAAAAAAAAAAAAAAGGTTTAGGCCTATGAAATAAATATTTCCCTTTTTCGCATTCATGGAAACTTAAGATAACATTCTTATATGTAAATTTAAAATCTGCCTTCACATAATCTTTAATAAAATCAAGAACATCACACCAAAATGTCATTGAAGGAGTTTAAAATAAATTAACAGAAGTATCAGGATTCACTAAGCAAAAAGAACAGTTGGTGTTACTATCATTAAGCCTTTTAAGATAACACTTGTCTGGAGAGCATCAATGAATTTCTCTTTGTTGTAAAATAGATAAAACACTCAACAGACTAATCAACTGCGCATAGTATGACGTTCCGGAAAAAAGTGGGCTGTCTACAATTCTTATTGGTCAGAACTCACGTCAATCATTTACCGCGCCAAAACGACAACTAATCAAAACAGCGTTAAGTCCCTCAACTAGGAAGTGACTCTTGCTCAACGACCATTGCTGCTGTCAACAAGAAAATATTAGTATTATAAACAAAATGCAGCGCACAAAGAGCGTTAAAGTGAAAGAAGTCATAACGTCTCTCTGTAAACTACTTTCTGGATTAAACGTTGAGTCGATTCCGACAGCTGAGACATTCAGGAGAGCCAAGTTCAACAGAAAAGATGCGGTAAGACCCGAATGGGTATTTCTAATGTTTCTTGTAATTATTAAACCATACTTATACAATGATATGATAGATATTTAACGTTTATTATTTAACGTTACCCATAAAATGTCATGATAATACCACGCTTTGTGTACAATTCATTTAGTCAGTCGGAGATGATAACTTAGATAGATAGATAGATAGATAGATAGATAGATAGATAGATAGATAGATAGATAGATAGATAGATAGATAGATAGATAGATAGATAGATAACGTTAGATAGATAGACAGAGTAAACGTGAGTACAGAAAGTAAAACAGAAATTATTTTTAAATAATCTTTATGATTGTAAAATTGATTATAAAACAATACTTAATAATACATTTATGATACATTATACTTATGTAAATTAGGAGTATATGAAATTATATATGTAACAGTTTGTTTAAAATAGTTAACAAAAGCCACAATATGTCATTAGATGTGTGAATGAATAAATATAGTACTATATTAAATAGAAAAATGTATTGTAACTTATTAGAAACAATGCTTTTTCAAACATTATATACACATGTTTGATAAGCATAGCAATTAGCATAGTTATTTTTCATTGTATAATTGGGTTCTTATAAAAGCATCTATCTAGATATCTTTTTACAACTTAGGATGAGGGTCCCTCGCACATGAATGGTCATATTTGGGGTATGTGGCATCTAAAAGATTCTAAACTAGACATGGACCGGTATAAGTTTCTGATGGTATAATAACCTTGTATAAAAATATCATGGTTTCATGGTTTTGTGATTACTGCTCTAAAATAACAATTTTTTAAAATGTCTTAAGAAAACTTTTTGTCCCCCTTTAAATACACAATATTTCATTTTAGGAAACATTTATAATATTTTGTAACAGGAAACATGTCAGGCTAAATAATTTAAATAAATTATTGACTTCTGCTAGCTTCATTAGTTTCAAAAACACTTTAAATATACCTTAGAAATTATATAACATTTATTTGTTATTATTACTATTATTATTTTCTTTTGCCGTTTTAAAACCTTGACTTTTTCAAACCACGGTAAATCTTGAAACCCATGCCTACTTTAAACCCCCAATTTAAAATGTTATATAAATATCAAACTTGGTTTCACCGTCCATTACCCCTGTTTCCATCCCCTCTGTCTATGTTGTGTCTTGCCGGTGTGCTTATGCTAAGATAGGGTTGTTTTTCTCCCTTTTCTCACTTTGTCCTAATCAAGGGCAAGCTGAGGGGGTGTTTTTTAGCCTAACTGTCCAAATGTATCTTTCTTCGTTTCTAAATGCTACCTCCTAAGATCTGTCTCCCCTGAAAAGTTGTTTGTGATGTTTTGTGTATGGTCTGGGGGGTCCAATTTCGCTATACGAAAGTGTAGTGACAAATAAAGGCTTGATTGATAGCACCATTATTATACAGCAGCACTGCATACCCTTTTCTTTTTATAATTTAATTTATTATAATTTTATAGATAACTCATGATTAACTAGACAAACCTTGCTTAGTGTGCTTAAAAAATCTGCTTTGCTTTTAGGTGGTGGACATGTGGAGTTTGTTAAATAGGCTTCTGCAGAGAGCCTTTGCACTGGACTGTGCGTGCCGGGACTCTAAACACCAAGAGTTTGGTAAAATTGATCATTGCCTGTAACTGCAGTCCATATGTGATGCATTGCTGTTTGTACTACCCACAGTGCTGTGCTTGCAGACACACAGCTGCTGTTTGTGAGGAGTGCTCTGTGTTACTGTGGCTATGGGGCTCCTTGGGTGGTGGAGCCCAGGCCCACGAGTCACATAGAGGAGATGGAGAGCCGAGATCTGCTGTTGGCGCTTGGCTGGCTGCTGGCATCGGGAAATCTGCTGGACTTCCTGCTGGCAGAGAAGGTTTATCAGTTAGACACGCTCTCTTCTGCACCAACGGTGAGACCTGGGGTTTTGGGGGTCTGATAATAGGGAAAATAACAAAATATGCTCATTGCTTTTAGTTTTGGTAATGTAAAAAGAGCATATGTTGTTTTATATAAGGCCAGCAGAGAGCAGAATAACACTACAGACACCTTTTTTCTACCACATATTCTTTAAAAAAGGAACTGTGTTGATTTTTAAATCACATTAGCAGCCTCTCAAAATCATTACACAAGATGCTAAAGAGTTAACTTGTGGTTTGGCTGACTAATTTAATACAATTCTAATGAAAAGCAATCATGAATGAAACACACGGAATAAAATTCTGTTTACAATTAGGATCAATTTGTAAGGCTGTTTCACTTCTTTTGAAAGCCTAATTGGTTTAGTCTGAAAAACAAAAAAACAAATCTAATGGAGGTATTCTAAGTGTCTATTTCATCATTTTAGTGATGGTATTTGCTAAGACAAACATGACTTTTGATCACTCTGTAGATAGGGAGAATGATACTATTTTTCTGTGTGCGTGCGTGCGTGCGTGTGTGTGTGTATGTGTGTGTATATATATATATATATATATATATATATATATATATATATATATATATATATATATATATATATATATGTATATATATACATATATATACAAAATATTGCAAAAAAAAAAAAAAAGTTTTTCAAATGTTTTGCTTCTTTTGATTTCCTCTTTTTCAAATTTGTATTTAATTTTATTTTATAACATATAAATTTGGATGGACTAGTTTTTGGACCATTATTGTGAGTTATTTTGTTAGATAAGCTCCAGATTTGGCTTCATTACTGACCAATGTATATGCACAAATATAATATTATTACCCTCCCCCCACCCTTGAAATTTTTTTTTTTTCTCAAATAATGTTTAACAGAGCAAGCTAATTTTCACAGTATGTCTGATAATATTTTTTTCTTCTGGAGAAAGTCTTATTTGTTTTATTTCGGCTAGAATAAAAGCAGTTTGTAATAAAAAAAAAAAACATTCTAAGGTCAAAATGATTAGCCCCTTTAAGCTATATATTTTTTTCGATAGTCTACACAACATCATTATACAATAACTTGCCTAATTATCCTATCCTGCCTAGTTAACCTAATTAACCTAGTTAAGCCTTTAAAAGTCACTTTAAGCTGTATAGTAGTGTCTTAATAAAATATCTAGTCAAATATTATTGACTGTCATCATGACAAAGATAAAAGAAGTCAGTTATTACAGATGAGTTATTAAAAATACAATATTAAGAAATGTTTTGAAAAAAATCTGTTAAAAATCTGGGTAAAAATAAACAGGGGGCTAATAATTCTGACTTCAACTGTACATAGTAATTCCGTAGATCTGGGGAAAAAAAGAATATTGAAGTATTAACAGTAAGTGTTAAACAGCCATAATATTTTAAAATGAATCCTCTTAACAGGATAGAAGCAATTTCAAAATTAACAAATGCCAGGAAATCTTCCCAAACTTTATGAAAAACTCCACTTTTATCATGGCCAATACAGGTCAGATAATCTAACGACACATATTAAAGACTAGTTCGATGCAACATCTTAACAGAGAGAGCCTTATCTGAGATCCATTGTAAAAGTATACATTTTCTTGCATTAAAAATGAGAAAATTGAAAAGCCTCATTTTGCACTTATCAAGACTTGCATGAGGGGACATTCCTAAGAGATCAGATGCTAATGATACTATTCTTAAAGTAATAATTACCCTAAAACTGAAAATGATGCCATTATTTACTTCACTTGTCACAAACCTGGTTAAGTTTATATTTTCTCTTGAGCTAAAAAGAAGCTATTTTAAAAACTGTTGGAAACATTTAACCATTGACTTCTATAGTATTTGTATGTGAAAGTCAATTGTTACTAGTTTCTAAATGTTTTCAAAGGATCTTATTTTGTGTTTAACAGAAGAAGGAACCTCATTAAGCTTTCAATCCCCTTAAGGGAGTATAAACAAGGAGAAAAGTTTTTTTTTTATCTCTTTAAGTATACATCAGTTTAATGTTTTTGCTTTAGACATTGATTAATTCACAAATAGTATAACTGTGGAGAAGTATTGTACTGTGAATAAAAGGAATCTGATTTATGTGAGAATTTCAAAAAAAAACATGGAAAAAAAAAACAAACCCTTGCGCACATACATTTGAGGATAATTTTCTTAAGGTGAGCTCTTTTGTTTGTAGCAAGTAAGCTAGCAACCACCCAGAACACCCCACAAATCATATAACAACACCCTGGCAACCACTGTGGTGGTGAGTTTGCCAAGCACTGATCACTTTAGCTCCTGCTTACTCTTATTTGAACTAATCGAATTGTCTTTAAATGAATTTGAAAGAGAGCAGAATGATTTAAAATCCTGTTAGATTTTTGGATCAATCTTAAGTTTATCAATTAGATGAGTCAGTGTTTTCAGACTTGGTTTATGCACTGCCAAAACCCATTATTATACCAAACCAAAGATGTGTTGCTTTTGTTTCTAGCTTTTATCAGCATTTATTAGTATCATGATGATAATAATAGAATGCATATTATAACGCAGAAGATGAAAAAAATATATTGTTCTTTAATACCAACATAAAGACATCTATTAGGCAAAAAAAATACTTTGCAATGTTTCTCAAAACACCTGCTCCATGAATCTATGTCTTTATGATGTTCCCAAACTTTATAAAAAACTCCACTTTTATCATGGCCAATACAGGTCAGACAATCTAATGACACCTATTTAAGACTAGTTTGATGCAACATCTTAACAGAGAGAGCCTTATCTGAGATCCATTGTAAAAGTAAACATTTTCTTGCATTAAAAATTAGAAAATTGAAAAGCCTCATTTTGCACTTATCATGACTTGCATGAGGGGACATTCCTAAGAGATCAGATGCTAATGATACTATTCTTAAAGTAATTATTCCCCTAAAACTGAAAAGGATGCCATTATTTACTTCACTTGTGACAACCTGGTTAAGTTTATATTTTCTCTTGAGCTAAAAAGAAGCTATTTTAAAAACTGTTGGAAACATGTAACCATTGACTTCTATAGTATTTGTATATGAAAGTCAATTGTTACTAGTTTCTAAATGTTTTCAAAGGATCTTATTTTGTGTTTAACAGAAGAAGGAACCTCATTAAGCTTTCAAACCCCTTAAGGGAGTATGAACAGGGAGAAAAGTTTTTTTAATCTCTTTAAGTATACATCAGTTTAATGTTTTTGCTTTAGACATTGATTAATTCACAAATAGTATAACTGTGGAGAAGTATTGTACTGTAAATAAAAGGAATCTGATTTATGTGAGAATTAAAAAAAAAAAAAAAACATGGACAAATAAAAACATTGTACACGTACATTTGCGGATAATTTTCTTAAGATGAGCTCTTTTGTTTGTAGCAAGTAAGCTAGCAACCACCCAGAACACCCCACAAATCATATAACAACACCCTGGCAACCACTGTGGTGGTGAGTTTGGCAAGCAGTGATCACTTTAGCTCCTGCTTACTCTTATTTGAACTAATCGAATTGTCTTTAAATGAATTTGAAAGAGAGCAGAATGATTTAAAATCCTGTTAGATTTTTGGATCAATCTTAAGTTTATCAATTAGATGAGTCAGTGTTTTCAGACTTGGTTTATGCACTGCCAAAACCCATTATTATACCAAACCAAAAATGTGTTGCTTTTGTTTCTAGCTTTTATCAGCATTTATTAGTATCATGATGATAATAATAGAATGCATATTATAACGCAGAAGATGAAAAAAATATATTGTTCTTTAATACCAACATAAAGACATCTATTAGGCAAAAAAAATACTTTGCAATGTTTCTCAAAACACCTGCTCCATGAATCTATGTCTTTATAATGTCTCTCTGTATGTATGTGCACATAAATCAGCATACTGAGCCCCACATCAGCATATTAGAATGATTTTGGGACTATCTTGTGACTCTGAAGAGTGAACTAATGGCAGCTGAAAATTTATCTTTGCTATCATAGGACTAATGTTTTAAAAGGGAATAAAACAGTAATGTATTTCTTTTTGTATGTAATTACAGTATATTTCACATTAGCACAGCTTTACTGGATTCCTGATCAAACAAATGCTGTCTTGGTAGCGGCATAGGAGACTTTAGAAACATCTTATAACTATTTTGGTGACAATATGTTTTTAAATGATACTGTAGTTTATAGACCGCTGTAATTAACTTCTAAAACATCGCTGAAAGCAGCAGTTTTAAACTGTAATTACTAAAAAGCATAAAAGCACTATTGTTTTTTTTCTTAATCTTTCATCATCCCTGAGTAATAATTTTAGCAAAATTAAAAATCAAAAAAAAAAAAAAAAAAAGCAAAATCAAAATCTCCCCTGGAAGCAGCTTGGGGTGCATGTCTCCATTGGGGTTAAACACATTATTTACTGAAGGATTGTTCTTTTTTAAATTTAATTTTGTTTTATGGATTTGAACGTTTTGCCTACAGAGGTTTCTCTATAGTTATTGTAATTATTTTTTCATAACATGTTTGTGTACCTCGAAGATCCCCCAGGGTCCAATTAGTGGGCTGGATGATCTAATGGCATGTGGATCAGGTGAGGAACTCACGGTGAAGAAGGATCAAGAAATTCAGGCACTGCAGTGGCAATATGGGAAACTAAGACTACAGTGGAAAAGCTTACTTTCAGCCCAGGAGGAAAGGTCCAAATTCACCCATAGGGTGAGTCACTCAACTATAAAAACAGTTTTAAAATTAAGCGTACATTTGTACAATTTAGATTTTTTTTTTTCCACACAGTTAAGGCAAAAAAATAAAACAATTCTGATTAGTCTCTTAATAAGTTATGGGTGTGTTTTGAGCATAACATGCATTAAACCAACCAGTGTGTTGCACTGTGGTGCATTTGCTATTTACATGGTGAAAACTGAATGCTTCACTAGTAAGAAAACAGTTAAACAGACCATCTGCGCAAAGATAAAGAACGAACCTCCTCCATTCGGCCTCTTTACATTCTCTTTACGTTACTTTTATTCTTTACTTTACTCCTTTACTTTCGTGGATAAGGAAATGTGTTGTACGCACTCCACTGAAGACATTCATTAGCCTACAATTTAGTTTGTTACGTGCCAAGATTTGTTTCAAAACTCTTTATAAATTCAGTCGTAATTTCTAGCAAACGAATAAATGAACAATAATAGCGTTATTATAAGTTATATCCAAGCACTTCCTATTGCCCCATACGTCTCTCAAACCTAACAGGTGGACACATCTAAACTAGTTTTTCATTCATTCATTTTCTTGTCGGCTTAGTCCCTTTATTAATCCAGGGTGGCCACAGCAGAATGAACCGCCAACTTATCCAGCAAGTTTTTACGCAGCGGATGCCCTTCCAGCCGCAACCCATCCCTGGGAAACATTCACACACACATTCACGCACTACGGACAATTTAGTCTACCCAATTCACCTGTACCACATGTCTTTGGACTGTGGGTGGAAACCGAAGCACCCGGAGGAAACCCACGCGAAGGCAGGGAGAACATGCAAACTCCACACAGAAACGCCAACTGAGCCGAGGTTCGAACCAGCGACCTTCTTGCTGTGAGGCGACAGCACTACCTACTGCGCCACTCCCTCGCCTAAACTAGTTTTTATTAAAAAAAATATAAGTATGCATATAATAAATAATAATAATGTTATTATACTAATGCAAATTGTCATGAAGGAACTGAAAAAAGGAGATGAGTCACTGAGTTGTAGAAGGCATGGAGGTAGTGGTTTTTGTAGAAAATATTTTTCTATAATGTAAAAAAAAATATCCTGTGATCTCTTTCTTTAGGTCATCTCCAGTATCAGTTCCTCTGCTGTACGTCATCCTCATGCCACTGGTTCCCATCAAACCAACATGACATCCACTGCACTTGACAAGGTGACATGAAAACGCTGGAGCATTTTAATGAAATATGGACACCAGAACATGTCAGTCTTAGGATGTCCTACTGGGCAAGTGTTATGACTTCAGCCACTTAATCATTGTTATTACATGACATGTGACACTTTTTACTCATTTAGATTCTCTCCAGAGATTTCTCATCGCATTTGTATTCCTTCGGTGTGGGTTAAGTGCTTCTATCCGTCATCAGCGCATATGGTGATCAGCGCTCGATAATAACTGCCGTAAGCTAGGTAACAAGCTCATTTCAATCGGCGAATGATTGCACGCAGCTGTCAATGTGTTTTTCATCCCCTGGCTTTTCTAGAGAAGGTTGTAATGAAGCATCTACCTCAGCGTAGCTGCCGTCCCGTTCTTTGGTGTGACAGATTGACAAGGTGGGAAATCCTGCTTGTTTGAACAGCGTGGATCTTGATCTTTAAAGTCAAAAGGCCTACTTTCTCCTGTTCCCTTTTCTGTTCTCTTGTTCTTTAGAGGCTTTGTTACAGTATTTTATCTCAGAAAAAAGTCTCCCTTCTGACATCTAATGAAGGGGCTGTTTTTGTCAAGCAGGTTGTTTAGAGTTTATGTGAAGAAAAAGTATGAAAAAGGTGGGGAAAAAGTGAAAGTGAGTAAAAAATATAAGTTTTTTATGTTTCTTCCTAGGGATCAGATTCTTTTTTTTTTCAACAAGAAGGATTATTATTTATAACAGCCAATGTATTAAGTGTAAGCAAGATGCTAAGTGCAACGTCACAAAAGCACATGCACAGTCATTGGCACACACCAAAGACCTGGGGGCTGTTTTATAAAAGTCATTTAGAAAAGCTGGTATTAAAGTAACAAACCTGACTTCAGTGAGCCGAAATAAACGTCCACGCTTAAATTGGTTTCATAGCAGCAAATTGAAGATCTAACTAATCTGAGTTAAGTTTAAATAATCTGGATAACTGCTTGTGCACGTTACTGTCGTGAAAACCTGAAGGTCGAGCATAGGTGCATCGGTTATGTTACATGCTACCATGGCAACTACGATTAAAGAAAGAGCTCTGAAATGAGACACAGCTATGTGCACAGCGAGTGGGCAGTGTTTGTTTTTTAAAGTTCAAACATATAACAATTTAAACATAATAATCAAACTACAGCTTACAACAAAGCAAGAGAGAAGGCTAACAAGAAATTGCAGATTGTCTCAATAGGCTACATATGTAGCAATATATTTTAAAATACAGGCCACTATTTAGACCTTATAACGTTAAATTGAACATTTGTCATAATACATTAAAATTGTGCTTGTGTGCGCGCTTACTGACAATTGTTGTTTACAAGAAAAAGTTTTAATGCATTGCAGGCTCACTGTAACACACAAAATGTGCTAAACGTCACCACATTAGGTTTAAAATAATGCCTACAAAGACAAAAATATACTAAATATAAGCACTACTTTTCCCTCGTTGAGGTGAAAGACAAGAATTTTTATGCATTGTGCAACTTATGCCCTGGAAAAAACAGTCTCTTTGCATCTGTGACAAGTAATTTTAATCTAATGAATCAACTCATGTCATCACATGCCACCACAAAATTAGTGGCTGCGCAGGTGAATAGCGTAAGCGCCGCTACCAAAGGAGGAGACGAAGCCATGACGTTTAAGCAAATAAAACTTCATTTTTCTCCACCACAAACATTTCATTCTCAAACAGAATTAAACAAAATAATATCTAGATATATAGTTGAGAACATGCTGCCTTTGTCTCTCACATTGTCCCACAACAACATAAAAATTGTGTAGATTAGTGTACAGTGTTTTATACTAGTGCTGTCGCCTCGTTGGTTCGAGCCTCGGGTGGGTCAGTTGGCGTTTCTGTGTGGAGTTTGCATGTTCTCTTTGCATTCGCGTGGGTTTCCTCCGGGTGCTCCGGTTTCCCCCACAGTACAAAGACATGTGGTACAGGTGAATTGGGTAAGCTAAATTGTTTGTAGTGTATGAGTGTGAATGAGTGTGTGTGGATGTTTCCCAGAGATGGGTTGCAGCTGGAAGGACATTCGCTGCGTAAAAACGTGCTGGATAAGTTGGCAGTTCATTCCCCTTTGGCGACCCCAGATTAATAATGGGACTAAGCCGAAAAGAAAATGAATGAATGAATGTTTTATATTTATTGTATAGGCATTTGACAAATTACAATTTTTAAAGAAACGTAATAGTTAATTTCTCTGGTAATTAGTTACCTTTATAATTATGTAACTATTTGTGAGCAGTGACTAGTATCTATGAGTAATTACTCTTTTAAAGGAACGTGCCCAACACTGGTGACATGATGTGACCACTTGTTTTCAACATGAAGATGAGGATTTTTTTATTGATTGATGGATTGAAATCATATAATTTAATTAGTCATGTTACAAAATTGGGCAACACGGTGGCGCAGTGGGTAGCACAGTTGCCTCTAAGCAAGAGGGTTGCTGGTGCAAGCCCCGGCTGGGTCAGTTGGCATTTCTGTGTGGAGTTCGCATGCTGTCCCCGTGTTTGAATGGGTTTTCTTCAGGTGCTGTGGTTTCCCTTACGAGTCCAAAAATATGTGGTATAGGTTAATTGGGTAAGCTAAAGTGTCCATAGTGTATGGGTGTGAATGAGTGTGTATTGATGTTTCCCAGTGTTGGGTTGCTGCTGGATAAACATCCTCTGCATAAAACATATGCTGGATAAGTTGGTGGTGCATTCCGCTGTGGCGACCCCAGATTAATAAAGGGACTGAGCTGAAAAAAAAGAATGAATAAATGAATGTTACAAAATCCTTGTTTTTAATTTATAAATTAATCAAATTAATTGTAAATGAACAGAAATTAATGATTTCTGAAGGTTGAGTTGACGCTTTAAGATAAAAGTATTGACTACTACAATATAGAAAGGACTGCTAAAAACTAAGCTTTTCCACCAAAGGAATTAATGATGTATTAAACTAGAAACAAAGTATGTTAAGTTGTAAAAATGTTGCACGATATCACTGTTTTTATGAAATATATGCAGATTTATGGACCCCACCAAACCACTGAACAAAAGTCTATTCATAAATTAACATTATGCTAAACATTAGATTAAAATATATTTATGAATTATTAAACAATTTGTAAATAAACTATCCACATCAATCAATGTTTTGCTTTATCAATACAGATAGACAATAAGACTAAAGGAACTGACTCATGAAAGGACTAAAACTGACCTGTATTGCTTTTTTAGGACTATTTTATCCTTATCAGCTGCAATGTGCACTCAAATGCTTTTATTATTTGCCTAATTTCTTTTTTTCAGAATGACAGTGAAATCTCTTTCACCTTTGCCTGCATTTCAAATATCAATATGTTCTGACTGAATGTTTCTGTCAAAGTTCACAGCATTCTTCCTGAAAATGTGTCATGTTGCACCATTATTGCATACTGACACATTCTCCAGTGTAACAGGAATAAAATGGCCTACTAACACATCATTGAGCAACTTAATGTCATCACTATATCATATTAGATTTATTACCACCATCCAATTCTTTTTGAAGTTCTTCCTATTCATAATAGTCGCTTTGCACATTTTTGTGCCATCATCCATTCTTTTGTTTTCTGTAGCTTCAACATAATTAGTCAAATTTCATGTATTATTCGCTCAAAACAACCTCCTATTGCTGTCAAGTGTCAACCGGCAAAAGTCCTGCTTGTTAACTAATAGCTTTCTCCAGGTAGTCTGGACCTTGGTCTGTCAGCTCTGAGTGTGTGAAGTATACAGTGTGAGATGCGTTCAGACACAGGCTAATAGATCTCTCTTCTATAAGTTATGCTGGGCAGCTCAGGGATCACTCTCCCTCCCCATTGCCCTTCAGCCTGTGTGGGGTGCTGAGAGGAGTTATCAGCCTAAGTCCCTGGAGCACTTCTGTTTAACCGCAGAGACGTGCAGTATTAGTCAAGCTGCTACAGGGGAAAAATTGCTTCTGAGTACAGATCAAAGCGCTTGCCAAGTGTGCACAAAACTGTACTTACACTGTAGAGCCACTGGGGGTTTTATTGTTTAAAAACAACAGAGCTGCCCTGCGTGTAATTTAGGATTGTTTGTTGCATTTTATTTCAGGACCTGGAGCGGATTCAAGCGCTGAATGAAATTCTGGAGGCGTATCTGGATTGGAAACTCCACGAGCCTTTATTCTGGTGCTGGATGGTATGTCTGCTGTGCTTTCTATGCAGGGAAGAATGTGAGATTCACACTCATGCTTCTTTATGTAATATTCTGTTTGTTCACTCTGTCATATTGCTGCTCAGCCCCAGGTATTTATACATGAGCAATTCATGGAGACAGATGGGTAAGGTTTTTCGACACGACCAAATTAGTTTACTCTGAGAAGTTACTAGCGATGCTAAATCTAATATGTATATTAGCCCACTGTTTTTGGGAGAGCCAGACTGTCGGTCTGCCCGCGGTAACCTTGTCCAGCTTTGAGTTGTCACTCACAGTGATGCACTGGCACTCCAGGACTGTGAATCTGGCAGAAAAGAGCCCTTACTCACACTGGCATCTTTCCAATTTGAAATGAAGTTGTAAAGAAGTCCCCGACTAGCAGGAGTGCGTCCTGAGCACTTGCCAGTGGTTTCATTTTTCACTCTCAGTGGGCATTTTGAAGTAAAAACGCAATGTTTTAACTGCCATTCAGCGAGAATGGTGAGCTCATGGGTGTCTTTAAGTTGGACAAATGTTGGAGGGCTTTTGTTTTCCCACTTCCAGCATATCAGACTATTGCAATGATTATTTTACTCTAACAAGTCTTTTTATGTTGCGGCTCGATGTCACACAATCAGAATAAAGCACATTAAGATGTTTCACACAATTACAGCCTTTGTCAAACGCTGTTGTAGAACTACTGCTAATTCAATTTTTGAAGCCTTTTAGTGAGAAATTTAGTCTGGGTTCTTGAAACGCAGACTGAAGATCCCCGGTTCAAAGAACAGGAAGAAAGGAAATGGAAATCAAATAGCATGCCCACTGCGTCAATGAGAAATCTATAGTCCTTGATGAAAACCAAACATTTTGGGGATTGAGTGCTATTTGGGCAAGATTGTTTTGTCACTGTCCACACAAGAGGCATAGAATAGCAGATACAGAGCTCTGGCTATCGGTTGAGCCGTTGTTGATTAAGTTATTACACAATTTTTTTTTTTTTTTTGGGAGATGCATTACAAAGTCTTGACTTTAAGAGAACTGGAACATCTACCCAGAACATCACCCACAGTGTTATTCTGACATATTGTAATATGTTGATATAGAATAGTATTAACAAGTAAACATTAATATGAAGGGTTTAGGCATTAGACCGGTATGAGATTCTGACAGTATGATAACCCTGAATAAACATATCACAGTTTAACGGTATTGTGATAACTGCCTTAAAAATATTGTTTTTGTATGTCTGGGTAAAAAAACTAAAACTTTTTTTCCCTTTGAACACAATATATTTTATTATGAGGAACATTTTAAATGATTTTGGAGCAGTAAACATGTCAAGCTGAATAACGAAAATGAATCATGATCTTCTGCTCTCTTCAGTAGTTTTAAAGACACTGATTTTACACTTTACAATTTAAAACGACATATTTGGATGTATTTTTTTTTGTCCTAAATTATTTTTACTTTACTAGTATTTTTACTTTTTCGGAATAATGGCACAACTTTGTTTGATAGCTAAATGTGAATTGGTGTGCCCAACCCTTAACTAAGAAGCTACCAAGAGCTCATATCAAAAACCATGAATCAAGAGCTATAGTTCCAGTTCCAGTCACAATTCTGGCTAAAATGAGAATCACATTTTTTTTTTTGGTAGTAATAGGCCTATTATTATTGTTAACACAGTAAAATAAACTATAATACTATTAGGCCTATGTGTAATTCTAACTGTTGGATCAAATGCTAAGTTTTGTTTAGACTCTGAATGGTGGATTTGAACAGACTTTACATTTTTCCTGGTTATTAATACACAGTAAAGTGATTACATCAGAATACAACTATTCATAATTCTGAATTATTATGTTTTAGATGTATGTTTGCAATCTGTCCTTGACAACATTATTAGTCCATTTTATTCACTGGCAAGATCAAACATTTGTCATTATCAGATTACCTCATGCATTAGATTTAACATTAAGTAGGCTAGAGTAGTTATAGTGACACTGGTAAACATTTATTTGCATGCACAACACTGTGTTAGTATAAAGGAAAAACATTTCAAATGATTGTCGTAATCATAACTCTAAAAGTGATATGGTCATTTAAATGATGTGCTCACTTTTGGTTTCACTTTCACTGCAGAGTGCGGTTAATGTCATGGCTGTCGTCACTTTGTGAAAAAAAAAACATACATGCAAATCATAACTCCCATGTGGCTCTCAAAAGATTGCTCTGTGCAACTAACTAAATGTTATGTACAACTGTGTTACCTAGTATTCACAGCCTATGCAGGTTCTGTTCACTAAAGTGGACATCATTGGCAGGCACACGTGCATCCTCTCAGTAGTAAACAAACAGTGCATCAGCTCATTTACACACACATTACATTTCAGGGTGTATTGTACTTCCAACACCATTTGGAGGTGTCCACGATGCTGAGCAACGCATGTAAAACAATGTGAAGACTTGTGCTTCTCCTGAACTTGAAATATAACTGGCTGAATCATAGAGATGATTGATCGAGATTGTGTGGGGGGTCGAATCAAGATTGTGATCTTTTTTTGATTAATCGTGCAGCCCTCATTCCAGTTTCATCAAACACACCTGCTTATTCACCTTATTCTCCACTGACGAGCGGGCGCTGCCATTTGAATCTTTTTGTCTCACGACTTCCGGTCACATTCACTTCCATTAATTTTTTGACGTTAAAAACTGCTCATTACGCTGCTTGATGTTGCAATTTGATATTTTCTTACTATATTATTCTACTTGGTCTGTGTAAACAGTTGTTTGTAGAGCAAGTAGTTTGACCGTTTTCTGCCGTTTATTATTCCTAGTCATTTCTCCCATAGGCGACTGAATCGGAAGTTCTAAGACAATCGCGAAAACAGGCGCACTTCTGCGTTTTAGAATAAGGTCAATAGACTTCTAGTGATCTTAAAGACACTGATTAGCATGTTCAGGTGTGTTTGATTAGTGTTGGAGCTAAACTATGCAGGACACCGGCCCTCCAGGACCGAGTTTGCCCACCCCTGGACTAAACCGAAAAGAAAATGAATGAATGATTGAATGTCGGATTGATTTGCTTAAGAGAATCATGACAGAAATACTGTAGGCATTTTGTGTTTTGGTTGCAAATGAGAATCTGCATCAAACAGAATTTTTGTGTAGCTTTGTAGTGAATTTATCCAAAGACTAAATAATTGCTTTAGTCGAATTCTCGAGTTTGAGCACAGTGCATCTCCGTTACCTCAGAAATGTTTTTTTCTTCCTGCCTGACCTGTTGCACTTATGCCATATTCTCTGTGTAGGACAGTGTGATGGACAGCTCCCTTACTGATGCGTCCGAGGTGAAGCCAGCCGTTTGGCCACCAGGGGGGCAGACTGTCACGGCGACGTGTCCCCATGGCGACAAGACCAGGAGAGCAGTCAGACAACTTGACAAGATGTTGCTAAGGCTGCAGACAGAACTGAGAGCCAGAAGAATAGAGCAGGCCACACTCGCGCTCGCCTCACAGGTAATGACTAGCCACTAGGCAAGATCCACCCGCATAAGTGCAGACGGGAAGACTTCAACTTATAATAAGGTCAGGTTTCGCAGCATGATATTCATAAAGTTTTCAATTTCAAGTTCTGTCAGTTTGGGTGCTTGAGATGTTGACAGCTTAAGTTAAGATTTATATAACCTCAGTCCCACACTGATAGGATACCTCTATGCTTTATTTCTCTGTCCCTCTCCATTTCAGTTTTTCTAATGTGTTACATGGGATATTGCAAACACACAAATACACAAAGAAAGTACAATAATAGTAATAATAATAATAATAATAATTAAAATTGTAAATATTCATTGCACTTTGTTGCACTAATTCATCTTGAATTGTACATATCCACCAAACATATGCATTTTTAATTTTAATATCTATCTGCATACTTCTGATTATTAAAAGCAACCTGTACATATATAAATCTATTCTAAATTTCTGTTCATAGTTAATACAACCTTTATATAATGTTTTTAGTACATCCATCTGTAAATATCACCATAGTTTTTCTATAGTCGCACATTAAAACTTATGCCTATATCCTGCAGTTACTGCTACTACACTTCTAGTTAGACCTAAACTACATTTCTTGTACTTGTACATGTGGAATGACAATAAACTTGAATCTAATCTAATCTATAATAATATTAATAATCATGAAAATAGTGTAGATTTGTAGATCATTGATTAATGATCTTTTATTTTTATTTCTATTCTTATTTTTTAAAAATATATTATTGCTATAAAACACAATGGAACAAATCTTCTACTATGGTTTTAAAGAGCCCCTATTATAAGCTCTAAGAGGTCATATTTTAGTTTTGGGGTTCTCCAACAACAGCCTAATGTGTATGCAAGGTCAAAAAACAAGCACTGGCCTATATGCATTTTTAAAAATCTAACTATCCCAATTATTCTCATATGAATCCTTCATCAATTCATTTGTTCACAAACCCTTCCTTTGCGGGAGGCTAATCTGCTGTGATTGGTCCAATGACCCAGTCTGTTGTGATTGGTTGACTGGGATCAGTCAAAGACAAAGTGAAACTCCCACCACAGCTATGAAGTAGCAAATGGAGTATGTGAGAGCCCAATGCAGGAATGTAATAAAGCAATGCAGTTAAACACCAGCATATTACTCTATTCTTAAACCTAACCCAAAGTAATGGCAACGAAACGCAATCAATATTATTCCACGGGCAAAATTTGAACCACTGACCACGCCACCTGTGTGGAGTAACAGCTGATGGTTGCCACAGCAAAGACAAATGGCAGAGGATTGCAAGTTCAGAAACGCATTTGAATCGGTAAAGGGAAAAGCACACGTCATGTTTTCAATGCGGTTTTGGACACAATATGTAAAAAGCCCATGAAGATTTAACTTAAGAGATTCAGTACAAGCACTGATCTATAATTGATACGTGATTACAAGTTACAACACACAATTAAATATATATTTTGCAAACTACAGAAAATGACACAACCCTTTTAATTACACTTGCATGTTATGATCCGTAGGAAGAAGAAACTGGTTCATATGAACTGTAACAGTTACTGACAAAGTCCCTGTCAAAGTCTGACAAAGTCCCATATTAAATAGTCTCCTTCCATTAATAGCAAACGGCTGATGAATCCCGTATTCGTCACACACAGCACTAGGTTGGCTATACTGTGGTATTGTTGTGAAAATGAACTTTAACCCTTTATTCCCAGCAGCCAAATCTCCATCTGTCAGTGATCATCATCTTCGTTTCATGATCAGTTTCATGATCCCCTGCACTTCGCTAGTGTGTGAAGGGAAAGGCGCGTTCACGTTTTACCGGAACCGACAGTTTATGTTTGGTGACACACTGTATCGATGTTGACGCATTCAAGCAAAACATCCAAACCCAACACAATTCATTTATTTAGCTCTGAGTCGACTATTTTGTTAAAACGTTAAATTAAATTTTTGTTATTTTGATAAATCAATATTTTAAACATGTTTTTAACACGGTGCACTGTCAGATTTAAACCTCAGCTTGATGTTTTCATTCACTTAATGCTGTGTTACATACTTAATGGAAGGTCATTTACAAAAACCCACAATAGGGGCTCTTTTATAATATAAAAGTAATGTTATAATCCTTAATGATGATGATAATAATAATAATATTAATAATAATAATGTAGATTTGTAGATCAGTGATTAATGATTATTATTGTACAAATCTACTTCTAGGGTTTTCATAATATGAAAGTAATGCTATTATCAATAATAATAATAATAATAATAATAATAATAATAAATATTATTCCCTTATTTATGTTTCCATAGATTTTAGTTCCCCAGGGAAAATGATTTATTCTGTGTGTATGAAACTCACCCCTTTTTTTTACCTGTTCAAAGGCTTTTTAGCTGTGTTCAGAGGTGTTTTAATATCCTGATAATGAGGTAAAAAGAAAGAAAATGATAATAACTAGGTCATCTCACCATTGCATTCTAATGTTGCCTGAATGTATTACGCTTCATTATATGGAAATTCAATGTGGTTGGTCTGATGGATAATTAGGTGGCACAACCACCAGCAACCATAACCTGTTATGATAAATGACCGTCTGTCTGGACTGAGGTCTTTTTCTGAATGTCTGAGGCTGATTTTTCCTCCCATCAATTCTAAACGCATTTCTTGTGATGCAAGACATATACGCTGACGTTTACGCTCCCACACACCTGATCATTTGGGATACCGCAGTACAGTTCTTTTTGATATAAGCATTCATTTGATGTTTGATCAGTATTCCAGATCATTGGTCTAAGCAAGCTCTCCTTCTCATTAGGGGGGACATCAGGGGGCTTCTCGGCTTTCTGACAGGCAGAGAATGGAGGTGGAGAAGACGGTTGCGGGTTATTTAGAGGGTCTGCGTCTTAGTAACACCTCCGCGATCACATCAAAAGGCTTTGTGCCATGTCTCCAGGATCCACAGCCCACAAAGCCACCTCGCAGGTTCCACAGTGCAGAACCTGGCCTGGCAGTGACAGCTGGGAAGCTCCAGGCATCTACGGTTTTGGGCGAGCTGAGGGAGAGAGAGGCTGTTCTGCAATGGCAGCTGGAGCGATTGAGGCAAAGTATGAGAGTGGAATTGCAAAGACAGGCCAGCACAATGGAGGGGGTGATCCTCATCCCGCCAATTAAGAGATAAACAGACTTTTTAGGCCACTATATATGGACTGGGACTTAAAGCTTCATTTTGAAAGGCTAAATAAGTGAAGTCTGTTTTCGTGCATTTTCTGATGAACTATCGAGATGGTTCACCCCAAAATGAGATGAGGGACCCCCCCATACCGTGTTAACTCTGTGTGCCTTTGTTCCTTTTTGCACGATTAAAGGATATAATAAAACAAAATGTCCTGCTTTTAAGCTTGTGTGAATACAGGTTGTCCGTGGGGTCTTAAAGTCTTAAAATATCTTAAATATCAAAAACAAAATTTTAGGCCTTAAAAAGTCTTACATTTACTGAAATATTGTGTTGTAGGTCTTAAATCTTTTGTAAACAGGACTAATTTTCCTTTGTTCATGTATTCTCCATAAAGCCCATCAGTCAACTTTTTATCAAATTGAAATGAATGTAGTTAACTCAAAATGTACTGAAAGATAATTCTACTCATTAAAAAAAAAAAAAAAGTTTTGAACTCAGTGTTATAGGTAAAAAGTTATTTAAATAACTCATTACTTCAACTTAAATGGAGTAAGTTTACAGTACTTATACAGATTAGTTTTTTAACTAAAACTGTTTGAGTTGCCTTAACTTATTGGGTTTTACAGTACACTGCAAAAAATGCTTTTCTTACCTAGATTTTTTTGTTTTGTTTCTAGTCCAAATATCTAAGAATTCTTATATCAAGAAACATTTTCTAGGCAAGCAAAATACATTGTCTTGTTTTCAGAAATAATATCCCAATATTAAGTGAGTTTTTCCTTGAAACAAGCAAAATAATCTGCCAATGGGGTAAGCAAATTAATCTTGTTTTTCCTTTTGACATAAGATTATTTTGCTTACCCCATTGGCAGATTATTTAGCTTGTTATAAGGGAAAACTCACTTAATTTTTTCATATTATATCTTAAAACAAGACAGTATGTTTTGCTTGTCTAGAAAATTCTTCTTGATTTAAGAGTTTTTACATATTTGGACTAGAAATAAGACAAAAAAATCTAAGTAAGAAAAGCATTTTTTGCAGTGTACTCAGTTGGTTTGAGTTCTCTTCAATTATTATTTCAACATAACAAGGGTTATGTTGAAAAGAGTGTATGTATACAATTAGAGCTTGCTTGTTTTGACACAATAGTTTAAATATTTTGCTGAGAATAAACTAAAGTATTTTGTTTTTAATTTTTAAATTATTATTGTTGTATGATTAAATGTATTCAATTATTCTTAAAGTTTAATAGGGCAAATAAAAATATTTTCCAACTGGCCCCTTTGAAAAACTCCTTAGCATTTAGCCCTGTATGAGTCTAAAATTAATTCGAAATGGTCTTAAAAATGTCTTTAAAAGTCTTAAATTTAACTTGCTGAAACCTGCAGAAACCCTGGATTGGCGAACAGGAGCTAAAGCTTTATAAATATCACACAACAATATCCATGTGACATATATATCCCAAGTGTTCGAAAGGAATACAGTAGAGTTTGGTTGAAAACAAACTTTATTGTATATTTAATGAAAATCCTGACCTTGACTGTTATCGTTTGTGTAACTGTTCATTTCTGACTATCCCAGAAAGAGCTCAGGTTGTAAGAAGTCAAGATAATTAGAAATGCAACACAAAACATGATCCAGTTGTTTTATTTATTTATTTATTTATTTATTTTCTTTTCACTGATAAATATATGCATTGTGTTCACTGCAACTGCATGTTTACTTTCATTTGACAACCAGAGTTCTAGTTCAGGGATTATATTGAGTTTAGTGAAGGAAACACTAATAAAATCATTTTTTTGGACATTTGTAACCTTGCTGTTTGGTGTTAAAGTTTGACTTATCAAGAATATGAGTTGGAGTTAACAACCACATGGGATGGTTCCCCCAAAAATAAAATTACCTCACCATTTACTCTCCCTCGTTGGGTTTTAAACAATTATGTGCTTTTTTCTATGCCTGTTACTATCATCTATATATCGACACATGGACATGACCTCAATCATTTTTGGTGATGCAATATATATCACCAATACATAAAAACAATTCTAGCAATGTTTCAGATGATTGTGCAGCATCTCTGTCTATGTTGGAGGTGTCAGTATGGTTAAAAAAACACTATAGCATTGACTATTAAATACTTAATTATATTTTCATGTGGGTGTCTGAAAACTGAAAGTAGATATAGTACCAGATATCACAATCTCTGTTACTTTTTCCCTTTCCTTTTTTGTTAACATTTATTATTATTTATTTGTTTAAGATATGTGTTTTCACATTCTGATTCCAATACCTAATTATAAATTTGTAAAAAATGACTAATTAAAGTATTGTTAAGAATAAAATATTACGTGTTCTTTGGAAGAGTGTACTTGCTTCATGATGCTATTATACTGTCATTCTGGCATTGTATAATGGCATAAAATGGTCCTAAAATGACAATAATATCATTTATTGCAATATATTTTGGTGTAATATATCGTACAACAAAAATTATATTGTGATATAGTGACAGCCCTATTTTTTCTGTTGAACATGTAATAAAGATATTTCAAGAATTCACACTTAGCTGATGATTGATTTTAAAGCGAGTTTGGCATGCTGTCCCGGGAGAGAGCCCTGAGCTCATAAGATCCTCAAACCCAGGGCTTTCTCTAGTTGCAGATTGAGAGGGGAGTTTGAGCTCAGGTAGGTCTCAAAAACTCCCCCTCTATTTAGAGCTAATGACAAATTAGGAATTTCTATGTAGAGGTATACTGCTGGTGAAGAGCTTGGCTATAGTGCTAATTTAGATTAGTCAATTCACTTATGATGCATGTATTTGGGCTATGGAAGAAACCAGAGACCCTGAGGGAAATCCATCCGAGTATGGGGAGAACATGCAAATTCTGCATGGAAACATCAACTGGCTTGTTAATGACTTGAACCAGTAATGCTCTTGCTGTGAGGCAACAGTGCTTACTGCTAAGCTGCAGTGCCACCCTATTAAGGCAAAGGAGGCTTAGGGGTGGAAGGGGGGATTCTTCAAGGCGAAGATGACTTAAGTAAGAAACTCTGGTTAATTATAGTGAGTTAAGAATCATCAGATTGGTGAATTATGCATTAGCTAATGCAGGACCAGCTGCGGTCAATCGTAAGCACATGCTTCTCTTGAAAATAGTTTATAAATAAACTTCACTTTGAAAACTGCTGGTTAATGGTACCTATTGGCGTCCATATAGGAGGAAAAACACTACAGCATGGAAGTCAGTGGGCACCATCCAGGCACGTGCACACATAGGGCTCAACCTGTGCAGTGCACATGCCCTTTTTAGTCTTGGATAGAAAGTGCCCTTCCAAAATGATCAAAAGTGCCCCCGCGACGCGACACACCCTCCGTCCCGCCCTTCAGTAGGCGCACGACAACACTGATCTTGAGTACGCGCGCCCAACCCCCCCCCCCTCCCCCGCTTTACAGTACGCGCGTGACAACACAGCTGATCAGAACGCGCGCGACAACAACAAGTTTGTTTTGTTTTCAACACGGGTAACAGATCTCAAATAAGTTTTTTTAACAACTTAATAGTAAGTAAACAATGAAAAACTATTACATTTAGGTTTGAGGTTAGTTTTAGCTTCTTTGTTCTACTTTTGTGTTCTGAAAAATATATGGCCCTGGAATTAAATCAAGATGATTTTCATTTTGGAATAATTATCTCTTTGAAACTGTTTATTTATGGACTATTTTGCTGTTAATTTTTGGGAATTTAAAATGTCTGCTGCAATGTGAATGACCTTACTTGGAAAATAAAGATGGCTTAAAAAGACTTTTGTCTGTACTTGAATACTTGTCATGAAAAACATTGTTTTGAGAACAAAAATGCATCAAGCTACACTCTGAAAAATGACTCTAATGACTCAGACTCAAGCAAATGGCTGACCTCTGAACATCCCTGTACTTTGCGGCGTGCTAGAGGAAATGGCAGACATTTTGAAATCTTTTTCTTTGAAAATCCCTGCCACTTTTAGAGAGCAAAACAGCACAGAGTTTCCAAAGTAGGTCATTCTGTCTGTTGCTTTCAGAACCTGTGGAAGTTAGAATCGAAGTTAGGAAAAATCAAACCCCAGTAATGATTAGCAGCTCCCTGCCGAGATCCAAACCCAGTTTTACTGAGCGATTCATAACATGAGAGGATTTCGTCTTTTCAAGGGCAAGACTGATACTACCAGCCAATTGGTGTGGTCTCAATTACATCGGAGGAGCTGTAAACAAACTAGGTGTGCAAGATAACATGAGCTGCTGGGCAAACTATAGAAGCTGGTGCAGACCGCAGTATTAGCTGATTAAGAAAGTCATTTCCAACACCGATTTTCATTAGGATTATGAGCAGAAATCCTAATCTAGACGCTGTACAGAGCATGACGAGTTCTAAAAGGATTTTCTCTCCATTACCTTCGGCCTCCTTATCTAGGCCAGAAATTGCTGTTTACAACTGAGGGAACGCAAACACACAGACTCGCCGGGTCCATTTCCCTTATGTTTGATGTGTGCTCTGAATGAACTGAGGCTTATGTAGCTGGAATTCAGGCTTATAATTATGCTCTTATGAAGAGGGTCAAACCAATGTCAAGCCAAGAGCTGGTGTGTGTGGGTGGGTTTCTCTCTACCTTCACCTCTCTAATGAATATTTCAATAATTAGATGCTACAGATGTGTGAAAGGGGTCTAAGTGACACGTTTTCTATGTTGGCATCAATATTAATAGCTTGCAGTTTTCCCACTTCATGTTTAAGGTGCTGCATAGCTGAAGCGTAACCACTCTGCAAGCACAGTTTCAAAGCTGAACCCCTGAACTCTTTATTTTTGGCATGCTGAACTCGTGACGAAATGTAGTGTTGACCCAATGATGCACTCTTTATTTCAGAAGATATGAAACAAAGTAAAAGAAAAATCTTATTAGTCACCCTTTGAGCTTACACAGCTTCAGATGGCAGATGCAATGACCACACACTGTTTGTTTACTGTCGTGTAATGTGTATTGCAGATAAAACTGGAAAGTACTTTCTCCTCTGGCAAGCTCTAATCTGATTGGCTGATTTGTACGTAACTCCTTTGATTACTGTGGACTATTTTTTTTTCTTCTTCAGACTGCTTGGAAACACTGGAAATCTCCATTTCCAAGTCATTTAATATTTGCTATAGGTTAGTGACTTTTATAGGAATATTGGTTTGAAGCTTATCT